CACCCTTAGAATATACACACTTCAAACATTCTTGGTTAGCTCCAACCTTGAAACCCTCTGCCAGAACCATCTTTAGACTACCTTTAGTCGGAATACTTTGCAACGTGTTCAAAGACGGTCCAGATGCGGGAACGCTGACGTGACTCTTGCAAATCTCACCAAGTAAAGGAGACGATAGGTTTCCTGACACATAATAGTAACTTTTCTCATCATCATCATCATCATCTTCACAATCAAGGTCTCCAAGGTAAGTAAAATCCGTTTGTGAAACAACCTCTGAGCATCCGTAGTATATTGTCAGCATCTCGGTTCCAGGAGCAAAGGGAAGGACGTTGTATTCGTTGAACAGCACGTCGTTTTGTGGGTATGGTGGACAAAGATCATCGCCGATGATATAATCTGATCTAGCGAGTCTTATGACACGAGAGGTGGAGTTTACCTCTAAGATTCTGAACTTTGCAGAGGAGATGTCAAGCTCTGCATATCCTTCACTACAATTGAGCTTGAAGTCGGGATGGCCACATGCTTCTCTGCCAGATATCCAGAAAGGGTAGAAAAGACCTTCTTGATTGCCACAGGTAAACGGGGTACTGCAGAGTCTGTGAAGCTCACTAGCTGAGATGACACAACAAGGGATCACAAAGATCATCCATATGATTCTATAGGACATAGATTTTGTCGTTGATGGGAACAGACTGATCATTGTGTTTTCTTGCCTTGAAAGTCACTCAAATAGAAAAAAAAGTTTGAAGGAGGAGGAAAACGCTCAGAACAGATTTTAAAACTTTTTTTTCTTCTTCTTTTGCTTTTTGGCAGGTTTAACTTAGTGTTTATGAAATATAAATCAAGTTCCCACCGACGAAACTGAAAAGTTTGATTTTTGCATAAACCTCAACATCAACAACATTACTTTTTCTTTCCAGCCTCTTAAAATGATTATGCATATAATCCAATATCAACACATTGATTTGCTCTTGCATTATGATTAATCACCTAACTCTGACTTGGAGCTTAATTAATAGCAATGTTCATTAGTACCTAATTAGACGTTCGGAAAGACTTGGTGCCCAAACAATAAATAAATCAGGAATGTTGAACGGCGAGATTAAATTGTTGACTATACGCCTTAAAGGTTGCTTTTAGAAAACAATCAAATTGTTGACTATTAGTCTCATAAATCTTCTGTGGTCAGGACCGGTCCAGAGGTAAAACCACATAAGCTACCGATTAGGACTTCTAAATTAATGAGACATATTTTTAAAAATATAAATATGTAGAATTTTTAGATAAATATTATTTATTGAAAATTATTACCCACTGAATAAAATTTTATACCCTCTGAGACCAATGCAACTAATGTTTTAATTTTTTTTATCATTATCCATGTAATATTTTTATTAACAAAAATTGTATAAACAACACTAATGTCTTTACGAATATTATTATTGTTATCAAATATATATAAATTATGTTTACATATAAACTTTAATAAAATCATATAAAATAATAAAAATATACATAAATTAATAAAAAATATAAGTAAAAGTTATATAAATTTAAGTAAATATTATCCTTTAAATGTGAGATTTTGAATTAACAACTGATTTTAATAAATTATGACTGATTATGGTCAAAATGTTGGTGATAATATTAAGAAATATTGCTATACAACTAACTTTATAAAAGTATCTTGAATAATTATTAATGCACTTGAATTAGTGAAAATAATGTGATCTTTATATTATATATATATATATATATATATATATATATATATATATTTATATATGATTATTAGAAAAAATGTTGTTAAAAGTTTGTTTATGGTATCTAAACTTGTTAGACCGACACTGTCTATGGAAAATTTAAAGGATGAAGATAAACTCATTTAGAAGATATTGTGATAGGGATTTATATTATTAAAACGTTTCGCAATGAAACCATTAAACAAAAGGTAAAACACCGCCACCAAAAACAAAAAAATGTAAGGGTGAGAAATGATCATTTCTAAAAAAATCTACTTATGAAACATTGTTACACTATTTCATTAAACTAATATTTTTTTATTTTCTTTATATTTCTTTAACTATATAAATGCTTTATAATTTAAATGAACTCATTTCTTTCCATAATTTATTATATAATTACTCTAACAATAAATCTCCATAATATTCTAACATTTTTAATATCTTTACATAGCTGGAAGTTAAAAACCTTAATGTCAACTATTCAATTATAAACGTTGATTTAATTAATTATATGCATTCAATTATTAAAATTTGATATTACGTTCGTATACATAAAATAAATGATTAATTTTATCATATATAAAAATCAAATGGATCTAAACGGGTTAGAGATTTAAATAGAACTAGTAAAAAAATATTGATTTAAATAGGATATCTTTATTTATTATACAAATTCTAACAATACATATAATATGTTTTATTTAATTTTAAACGTAAATGTAAATTATTTATTTAACAAAAAATAAATAAATAAATAATATTTTATAGTCTCAATATTATTAATTTATAAATATCTTACTATATAATACTACATAATAGTTTGAGCAAAATTTACATAATAGTTTGAGAAAAATTTGGTTACATAACCTATTTTCCCTTTTTTTCTTTGCTTTCTCAACAGAGAATGATTTAGATTCTCTCCATTGAAGATATGAAAGAGAAGGTTATGTTTTTTGTTTAGCCCATTTAAATTCTTTTTGGGCAGAACATAGATTTTAAGAATTTAGAAAATGGGCTGAATAAAATTGAATGTAAAACTATATTAAAAATGTAAAATCAATTATGATGAATAGTAAAAAAAAATCGAACTCAATTTATAAGACAACTACCACCATCAAATTACTAAAATAAAAACAACTAGAAACATTATTTAATATTCCGTGTCATGTTTAATCTAATCTATTAAAACTGAAGTACAATCGATATATAAAACTGTCTTTTCCTAAATAATTACCATTCCATGCCACTAACATTATCACTACACATTTATTAATTATTATTGAACATGTCATTTACAAATTCTTAACTCGCCGATGGATTTTTTGTATTCTCATTTTCGGATATTATATATGAAATTAGAATCCACTTTAGTAAGTTAATTATTGTTTTTCTATCTTGATTTTTAATAAGATATTTAAGACTGTGTGTATACATTATATGCCTTTTATGTCGCATTGACAGTAGCATAGATTATACTATTTGAATCTCAGCAAAAACTTCCATATTTTTTTGTTTATATTAGCCAAACTATGAATAGCTATCAGCTATTATACTGTAATAAAACCATGGTATAATAAATTGACAAAATATGCATAGTAACTATAAAATTTACTTTTTAGAATATTTTTTTGGTTAGTGCATACAAATATTATCATAATATTTTGTGGACGGAGATGGTACTCAAAATCGTATCAACGGAGGCTATGATTGGTATCCTTTTGTAATGGTGTAATGGCGTTTCAAACGCGATTCCACAAGTATTTTGCCAATTAAGCAAATTTACGGAATGAAAAAAAACGTAAAAACACAAGTTTACATTTAGGCGAATAAAAATACAAAGGAAACTGTATTAAGTGGAAAAGTGAATTTTAATAGATTGTTTATAAAATCAATAGTTCAGAATTTTTTTTTACAAAACCAATGCTTTCCTATTATTAAATTTTTATAATGTCATTTTAAATTTTTAAATAAATAATAATAATATTTTTAGGTATAAATAGTTATGTTGTAAATTAAATTAAACTATAATTTCTTTTATGATATTATAAGATGGCAAACTATTATTAAAAACATATTGAAAATAATTTAAATATTTATAATACAAACTAAAAGTATTTTTAATAGATCTTAGTTATTTTCACATTTAGTAATAATTAGTTTAGTTGTAGTTTTTTTTATTATAATAAAATAAATACTATATAAACTATTTTAAATATTTTAATATGTATTCCAGCATTCCAAAAATTTTAAAAAATTTCGTAGCTTAATTAAATTTTTCCACAACTTAACTATTTTTTCGCAATTCCGCGATTAAACGATGGTTATCAATCAGAGCCTGAACATCTATAAAACTAACTTACCGTTTTGTATATCTTAAATATTTTATTATTTAAAGTAATTTAGCTTAATGTGTGCCTAATTTTTAGAAACTACATAAACTAAAAAAATCACTTTTTCAAATCTAATCTTTACTCTGAATTACTATTTAACTATAGAAAGTAATCATCAATACACTTATATAATTAAACAATTTAACATATGAATCCAATGAATCTAATATTTCATTCTAACAAACTTTAATCTTGGTACAATATAAAATAAGAACTACATACCTAATATGAAAAGTTGAGAATTTTCGAGGAACAAAAGATGTTATATTAAACAAATGAATGCATATAAACTATAAGACTATTATTTTCAGAAATATTAGATTAAATATATATTTAATATAGGTAAATATTAAAAATATATACAACTGTTTATATAAAAAAAGTTTAGGTAAACATGCTAATTCCCCATGAGAACTATCATATAGCATCAGATATCCATCGAACTATCATCTCGTGCCATATCTCCCCGAATTATAAGTTATAAACTTATTTCACCCCGAATCGATAGTTCAAAATATATTTATCCTCGAACTAATAGTTTAGAATTTAATTACACATAAAAATGATTTAACCGATTTATTATTAACCAAGAAACTTTAAAACCAAACAAAAATTCAATTTTATCAAAAAGTAAATTTTCAAAAATCTCTCAAAACATGAAAATCTTCAAAATTTCTTTGATAATAGTGATAGTGTGGAATTTGAATAGTGTATTAACAATTTCTTTTCTGTTAAAAAATAGATTATTGACGTGTTTATTTGGTTTAAATTATAGGGTTAAACAATAAACCAATAAAAACCATAGTCTATGAACAATTAAGTTTGGAACTATCGATTCAAGGAGAAATAAATGTGTTACTTTCGATTCATAAAGATCTAGCACGAGGTCATAGTTTGGTGGATATCTGATGCTATATGATAGTTCTCGTGGAGAAATAGATCATGGACCCAAAAAGTTTCAATGGAGAAAAATAAACAAACACCGCACAAGTGTACGGGGGTGAAAATCTAGTGTTTTATTAAATTATAAGTAGAAAAAAACACAAATACATAATTGATTTTAAGAGCATATCAACCGCTCATCTGATTCTCAGGCTTACTAGTCGTCTTATGACTTCTCCAACCAACAGTCTTAAAGTATTTTTATCAGCAAACTCGCTCTATGACAGCTTTCTAAACTTGTTTGTTGCTAAGTGATACAGAAAACTTTAATCAATAAATCATCTCATTTGCTTCTTCACCTTCTTTTGAATCTAAGTCTGATTAAACCTTGCTTTATTTTTGACTCGGATCGAATTGTGATTCAGAGTTCAAATAACACACACAGCCTCATATCTAATGTATATTACAAGTTTACAACACGTCACAGCTCTAAACCCAAATTATCTATTCGTCTTCCTCCATCATGCGAAACCTTCCGGTTTCATAGACATGGTACGTCCACACAGGTAGAAGCAATTCTCTTGCGGCCTCGAGCTTCTTCACTTCGTCTTCATCTCTTTCTTCACCAATCTCTCTCTCTATTATTGGGTAAATTCTCGGAAGTGAGACCAACATTGTGTCAAGCTCTTTCCACTCTCTATCTTCTTCTCTACTTAGCAACTTCGCACACAGAAAATGCAACAACCCTAAAACTGTACTGTAATCTTTCTTCTCTATACACACCGCTGAACATATCAAAAGAACATAACCGATTCCATCAACCACTTTTGAGTTACCTTTCACCAATGAAACTATGGTATCTCTCAGTCTTTTGAGTGCCGGGAAGAGCTGGAGATGAGATTCTGAGGTCTCGTCGATTTCACGTAGCTCCAGCTTCGCACATGTAAGAAGCCATGTCGGAATGCAGAGTTTGATGTGATTGAATGTGCTGGTGTATGAATCTTCTTCTTCTTCCATGTTGTTGTTGTTGATGAAACAAGGTCCTAACGCAAGAACCAGATCTGGTATCCAAGGGTTTAAAGCTGTCAGAAGTTTTGATGCATAAGCCGAGCCTAACGATATCTCAACCATGGTGAATAGATCAAGCAGGTCATTTGCAAGGTCAAAAGCTTCAAACAAAGGGCATGACGCTTCTCTCATCACCAGGTTTATCAACTTTCCGGCATAACTGGTCGAGCTTTTGGTACACAGAATAATGTCCTTCAAATCTGCATCCTCAAATTGTAACTTACCAGTTGAATGGTGGTCGAAACTGGAGATGGCATACTTGAGATATGCAGATGCAAACTTCAACATTCTTGCTTGGAAATGGGAAGCTAGACCCATCTCTGTAGATTCAACAATAAACTTGAGAATCGCAGTTAGCATCTTGACCTTGTTCAGTACACCTCTTTCCTTTGATCCAAGACGCTCTGCATGAAGCATGATAACAATGTTAGAAAACTTGTATTCTTCATTGGCTCTTACTAAAAATAAGAGCTACATAAGAAGATTTCATTATGTTGGGTAACATATGTAATGAACTCAACGTCCACTCACCATCATCACCGGCATTTGAATTTTTTCTTTTTGGTTTCTTGCTGAGGTGCGCCTTTGGAGCTATGGTGTCTGACGTTCCATTGTCACCTGCCTGGAATAGTTGTTCTGTACAGTCTAGAATGTGATCCATTGTTTGGTCCAGACTATCCTGTTACGAAAAAAAAAGGTCCTAATAAAAATTAGTTTGTGTGAAAAGAATAAAGAATCAAGAGGGAAAGCAAAAGGTCCTTGCCTCGGCAATTGTCGTATTATTCATCTGAGCATCCGTATTAAGATTCCGAAGAGTCATGTGTAAAGCAAGAGAAGTATATGCTAATACAGGGTATACGTCCATGTATCCATAACAAGAGGCTTGCATTATGCTAGTCTGGGAGACGACTTTTAAGGCAGTGCATAACTCCTCAATATCAGACTCGAGTATTGATTTACGAGCATCTTCAGTGCTAAGCAAATCCTTTATTTGCCATGCTATTCCTACAGCTACCGAATAATCATCCTCGAAGCTGATTGCATTTTTTTCGCTAACATGTTTCCACTTTGCGGAAGAGGACTTTGATTTCTTCCTCGTCGCTGAGTAGACATTCTTTCTTTCTACTTCATTGCCAAAATTGATCTGGCAGCGGTACGCAGTCTTCTGAAGGATGCTGGTAAAAGTTCCAACGAGGTCAGAAAAGGCATTAGACGACAGGAGTAACTTGTGTACAGATCTAATCTCCACCTGTCTTCCTGCATCACCAGGCAAACCACCACAATTAATAACCAAACTCATGCAATCTTCTAGGACGTCAGAGACGATCTCAGGGGAGACCATAGCAAGAATATCAAAGACAGCTGACTGAGCCTGTGCAGTAGGTGCAAAAGCTAGCAAGCTTTTCAATTTTTCTCCAGGTAACGACTCCTTCAGGGAAGCCATACACCCTGAATCAGCAACCAGATTTTTACAGAGATAGTACGCAGCAAGAAGCAAGCCTTCAACCTGGTTCTCCTCTAGCTTATCACCTGACAAGATTGAATCCAAGAAGAATCCTACTAGCTGCCTTGCAGACTGAACCGTTGCTCCTAAAGATACTAAAAACTCGCAAAACCTTGCACCAGCCAATGGGTTTCTGTTTATGAGTGTCCTACATCGCGTGCAGGCCTCCTCAGCTCTCTTTCTCGAAGGAAAATATGATGGCATCAGAAGCCGTGCGATTCCCTTAGCAACATTAGTTTGGTCAGAAGCAAGAACAGATAACAACACATCCAAACTCACCACCGTGTTAAACTGGAAAGTACGCACATCTCTTAAAAGCAAGAGCAGATCAACCATAGCAACCCGTACAGAAGCAACATTATCTACCATCAAATTCCCCAGTCTCGGCAGAAGCACCTTAAGAATACCATGGGACTGCGGGTTCCCGAGTAAATAAGTTATCCCATTAACAGTCGAAAGCCTAACCTCACTACAAGACTCATGCGACATATCATTGAAAATCTTAGTAATGATCTTGGTAATAGTTAGCGACGGTATCACTTCCCAAAAAAGATAGAAAACTCTACAGAGACCTTCCACAGCAACAGACCTCACATCAGGGCATTCATCACTCATCAATTTCTCCAACAAGTAAAACTGTTTATCAAGCAGCTTATCTTTCTCTTCTTTCGTTGCGTCCGGATCCTCCATGGGGAAGAGATCCAGAAGCAAATGTAAAGCATTTAAACGAACATTCGAATTCGCAACCTGAAAGATACAATGTCTTAAGTTATATGTACAAGCTTCTTTGTACACAAGATTAAAAGAAACTAACCTGCAACGATCGGAAAATCATCGGCTCAGCAACTCCAAAGAGTAACTTCTCAACACCCTGAGTTGTCCGTTGGCTAATAAACCCTCCAAGAACCTTCCTCAAAGAAGCAGCAAAGGCGCAAGACCCCGCGTGGATAGCGCCATCAACAATCTCCCGCATAAAACATTCTTCAATCTCACCTCTCAAATCATCACCAACCTCTTTCCAAGCTCTAAACAGAATCCCACCGAAACCCTCGAGAACAGATTTCCTCCCGAAAGGAATCTGAGCTTTGACAACTGCCAGTCCGGACTTCATCAACTGCCTGCTGAGTCCGAACGCGAAGGAGACGAATCTCTGTCCGTCTTCTGTTTTCAAATACAGAGGGGAGACGACGCAGCGCATTAGGAGCATCCTGAGGTCTCCGATGCTCTCTTCGTCGTCGAAATCGAATAGTGTGAATGCTTCTCTGAGCATGTAGACTCGATGGACGTCTGTTTTCTTTTTAAGTGTTAATGATCTCGATAATAGGAACGGTAACGACTGAGAGATTAAGGATTCTCGAGAGAGAAGTCCTTCTTTCCACCAAGACTCGCAGACTCCGGTGATTTCGAGGCAGAGGATTGGATCCGATTCGAAGAGGATGAGGTTGTTGTGGAGAGATTGAGCGGCGGGGAGGAGATCAGTGGCGGAGAAGGCTTTCTTTGGAGATAGAATGCATAAGTTGAGTATATGAGAGAGGACCTGGAGAGAAGTAAGGATCTGTTGCTTTCGGTTATCCGAATCGGGTCCAGGTCCGGGTCCGTTACTGCGTTGGCGCTTGTGTGGAGGAGAATTAGAGGGAGAAAGAGGAGGATTGTGATGATCATTTACGGAGAGTTTCTGGAAGGATTCAGTGTGGTGGAGGATGGAGTGGAGGAGAGCGAGTGGGAGAGAAGAGGAGAGGTCTGACGAGGGTTTTACGGAGTTGATGATGGTTTTCAGAGATGGTTTTGAGGATTTTAGAGTTAATTTGACGGCGGATGAGATGAATTCGTCGGCGGATGTCTTGAGAGATGACCGGAGCCTCTTCTCCATTTTTTTTCTTTCCGTTTTGATTTTTTAGGGTTTTCTGTTTTCTATTGCTCTAAAGTGAAATGGGGGGGGGGGGGGGGGGGGGGGGGGGGGGGGGACC